GAGCCGCAGCACCACTTCCGGCTTTTTTTTTTTCTTTTTGCTTATGTGGTGCTGAGGAATTGAACCCAGGGCCTCAGTCACGCAAGGCAAGCGCTCTACCGCTGAGCTACCTTCCCAGCCCCCAGAAAAGCAAAGTCTTGGTTGCTGGTGTTATTTGTTTCAACACAGGTAAGGACTGGCTGGCTGAAGACAGTGGTCTGCTGTTACTTAAGGACCCCATTTCAGGGCTTTAACATATACTTGTTCCTGCTTTATGCATGTCACCCACTGCTATAGCAGGAGCACTAGCAATCAAGATGGACAGGCTAGGGTTTATGTGTTAAGATCAGCTGTAGATAACAACAAAAAAAAGGAATTGAGCTAAATTAACAATCAAATAGAACTTTGCTTGTTGTGTATAAGAAATCTGGAGGTAGTAAGTCCACAATTGGCATGCTGCATAATGGTGTTAGGATCATCTCCCATTTCCTTTTCTTTTATGTGCCAGTACTGGGGGCTTGAACTCAAAAGGCTTGGGCACTGTCCCTTAGCTTTTTTGTTCAATATGGGATTCTACCACTTGAGCCACAGCTCAACTTCTAGCTGTTTGCTGTTTAATTGGAGATAAGAATCCCTCAGACTTTTATGCCTGGTTTTATGGACTGGTTTTGAACTGTGACAGGTCTCAGCCCCCTGAGAAACTAGAGCCACTGGTGCCCAGCTTCCCATTTTCTTTCCCATGTAGGGATTTCATCCTCAAGTTCCTCTCTTCCTCCTGTAGCTCCATCATAGGCTAGTCAAGATCCAAACAGGAGCTCTCCCATGTTATTTTATTGGTTACACACTGACCAGCCCTGTTATCACTATGAAAAGGGAATACATGAAGGTATAAATACCATAGGAGAAGATTGCTGGGGGCAGGTGTGTTGTGTGTTCCACATTTTTTTTTTTTTTTTTTTTGCCTGAGGCTGACCTTAGACCAATATTTTCCTACCTGTGGCCTTTCACCTAGCTGAGATCACACCACCGTACTTTGCTTATTGATTGGGAGGTAGGGTTGGAAATGTCTTGATAACTTTTGCCAGTGCTGGCCTTGGACCTTCATCTTCTTGATCTCTTCCTCATAAGTAAGTAGGATTTCAGGCTTAGTCCAACTTGTCCAGCTAGCTTATAACCGAAACCTCACAACCCTACTTCTCAGACTGCAGATTTAGTCAGTGGTAGAGTGCATATTTGTAAAGGGCGGTAGATCCAATCCCCAGCTCTACTAACAAACAAGTGAGCAAAAAATCTTCCTGTAACTGTTTTGATGAATCTTCTTACCCTCCTTTTGCTGCAGAGAAGATCATCTAGATTCTGGCGCTTCTGTGTGAACTTCTTACCTTGAAGTCTTTCCTCCCCCTCTAGAAGTTCTTCGCTAAAATTTAATGTTTACTGCCTGGCTATGCCACTAGCTCACATCTGAAATCCTAGCTACTCAGGAGGCTGAGATCTGGGGATCACAGTTCAAAGCCAGCCTGGGCAAGAAAGTCTGTGAGACTCTTTTCTCCAGTTAACTAGGAAAAAGCTAGAAGTGGGGTTAATGCTCAAGGGATAGAGCACCAGCCTTGAGCAAATAAAGCTCAGGAACAGCTCCCAGGCCCTGAGTTCAAGTCCCAACACCAGCACATTTAAACACATCCCTCCCCCCCAAAAAACAAAAAACCTTTGCATTTACTGAGCCATCATTCTCCATTTCCTGACTCTTGGCTATGCACAGAGCATAGAGGCTCCCATTGATCATTAGTGTACCCTCTCTAGGCTTCTCTGTATCTTGATGATTTCCTTTATTTATTATTATTTTTTGGTCTCTGTGGGACTTGAACTCAGGGCCTAGGTACTGTTTCTGAGCCTCTTTGTGCTCAAGACTAATGCTCTATCACTTGAGCCACCACACCACATCCAGTTTTTGAGTGGTTAATTGGAGATAAAAGTCTCATGGGGAGTTTTCTGCCCAAGCTAGCTTCAAACCTTGAGCCTCTGATCTCAGCCTCCTGAGTAGCTAGGATTTATAGATGTGAGCCACCAGCACCTGGCTGATGATTTCCTTTGATAAGTGATGAGGTTTTCTCACGGAGCCTACAGGAGGAAGGTGGAGTTGGGCCTCTGGGAACATTGCTTGCACAGTAACTGAATTGGAAGTAGGAGGTGGGTTGTTTCTCAGCCACTGAAACATTCCATAGCTTCATTTAAATGATGCTACTATGCAGTGACTCTGGGGAATAAGCTTGGAGAATTTTGAACTCTTCTAGTCTTTGTTTGGTGGGGGGTTAAGGATGTCTAGGGCTGGAGGCTGCTAGAACTGGAGGCACAGTGTGTTTCATTTCAGTTGAGGCTCCTTTCCTCGTGTTGCAATATAAGGTCCCACTCACCTTAGTGAACTTTGTCCCAACCATTGTGCTCAGTCTTAGTTACCAGAATGAATACTTTGCTGCTTTTTTTTTTACTTGTTTGGTGTTGAGCAAACACCTTCCTAGCCACTTGATGTCCTCTTACAGGAGGAGCAGCTGAGAACCTGATCCCCTACGTACTCAGCTCAGGGGCTGAGTCTTGGAGATGAGTGCACCCCCCAATAGCATAGCATGTTGCATGATGAGCTGCCAGCAGCTGACTCAGAACCTGAGTGCTCTGCACTGTAAAAGTAGTGTAGAGTCCTTGGAGAAGGCTGTAATCTTAGATGGGTGGGTGCAGACCCAGGTAGAGAAACCTCAAATAGAAATGTGAATAAACCATCAAACATTCTCTAGGTAGGAGGGTGAATCTCCAAGGAGGAAGTTCTTTTTTTCTCATTTAATTTCTTTTTTTCTCATTAACCTGCCTTCTCCCATCTCTGGTCTCTCTTCACAGAACCCTGCCATCAGCATCACAGAAAATGTGCTGCATTTCAAAGGTCAGTATCTGAATGTCCAGCGGTAGCTTCTGCTGCCTGTCCTGCCATCTGCGTATTTGAATCAGGAGCCATGTCAAGGCACAGGGATTAGAGGGGTGGCCAGCCTATCATCCAAGAGTTGAAAAAGATCTTTGTTTCCTTATGCCATTTGAGGTGCACTAAAGGAGAGGTCAGCTTCCGCTTTCATTCTCTGTCACTAGTTGGAAACTTCAGGCTCAGAGCTGTTTTTGAGATAACAGCATTTCCATGTACCTTACAACTAACTTTCCCTTCTCCTTCTCTCCTTCCCTCCCTCCCTTTCTTCCTTCTTGGGTATTGAATCCAGGTCTTATACCACAGCTCTTTCTGTAAGGAAAAAAAATTGCTTTCTTTCTTTTTTTTTAATTACATTTTTAACTGTAACCCCTCTGTACATCACCTTTATAAGAACAAAAAAAAAATTGCAGGCTGGGAAGTTGGCTCAGTGGTAGAGTGCTTGCCTTGCATGCATGAGGCCCTGGGTTCGATTCCTCTGCCCCACATAAGCAGAAAAAGCTGGAAGTGGTGCTGTGGCTCAAGTGGTAGGGCACTAACTTTGAGCTGAAGAGCTGAGGGACAGTGCCCAGGCCTAGAGTTCAGGCCCCACGACCAATTAAAAAAATAAAATAACAGACAATGCCCAGACCCTGAGTTCACACACACACATGTATACACACACACACACACACACACAAAGGAAAGAAAAAGAAAAAATATTAAAAAAAGAAAAATCTATCTTTAGTGTTATTATAAAGGTAATACAGAGGGCTTATAGCTATATGTCAGGTAAAGAGTACATCTCTTTTTGGACAGTGTCACCCTTTCCCTCTCTCCCAATTTTCCCCCCATCACCAACCACAAGTTGTATAGTTCATTTTCAAGGAAGTTGCTTTCCTTAAACATATCAAGATGGTACATGCATTGGATTTTTCTCTGTAGGGTTTAGAACCAGAGTAAACATGAAAAGTTTATGTACGTGCTACCTTTATCTTTCCCATTTATAACCTTTCACTTGCCCATGACTTATACTGAGGGCTGGGATGTAGCTCAGTGGCAAAGCGCTTGCCTAGCAAGTGCAAGGTCCTGGGTTCGATCCCCAGTACCAAAAAAGAAAAGACCAAAAAAAATAGTTATAAAAAAAACAACCCAGACTTATACTGACCATCACCCAGCCTATATTGGAAGATTAGGTAAATATTCCAAGATAGACCATCAGAGGACTTATGGAGATTAAATTTTTTTCCCAGAATTTTGGTTTATCTACTTGCTGAGTATCTGTTCACAAGCTTCCACACATTTTGACAGGAGCCATTAATATTTGTACAGTGTTGAAAGACCTACCATGCTGACTTTTCAGGTAGCCTTGCTATGCTCAAGTGCGTAGTAACCCATGTTTCTTTTCCATATAGCCCAGGGGCATGGTGCCAAAGGAGACAACGTCTATGAATTTCACCTGGAATTCTTAGACCTTGTGAAGCCAGAGGTATGCTTTTCCTTTCTCACATACCTTTCCTTTGTATGAAGTGAATATTAGCAGTGTAGCACAGTGAAGGGCAGGAGCTATGGAAGAGGAGATAAAAAACCAAAGGGGAATGATAAGAGTTTTGAAAAAAGTTTTAGTTGTGGAGGAATGGTAACATTGGATCTGGGTTTTGCCATTTGTTGGCAACATGACCTCAGTTCTTCGAGTTCCATGTTTCTTTTTTTTTTCTTCTTCTTCTTCTTTTGGCAGGTCATGGGGCTTTAACTCTGGACCTGGGTGCTGTCCTTGAGCTCCTCAGCTCAAGGCGAGCACTTTACCCCTTGAGCCACAGTGCCACTTTGGGGTTTCTGGTGGTTAGTTGGAGATAAGAGTCTCATGGGCTTTACTGCCTGGGCTGGCTTTGAACCAGAATCCTCAGATCTCAGCCTCCTGAGTAGCTAGGATTACAGGCATGAGCCACCGGCTCCTGACTTCATGTTTCTTCTGTATGAGATGATTGGATGACCTGATCCTTGGGGTCCCTTCCAGCTCTGGTCTTCAGTGATGGCAGAGGAGCATGGCACCTCTTAAGAGCAGGGTAGTTGATCAACTAGGAATAGAATCTACAATAGCAGTCAGAAAGTGCTAAAATGGTTGATCTTTAAAAACAATAATGCTAAAATATAATTGGAGTTTCTCTTCATCCAAGACTGGAGGAACTTCTTGCATATGAAGGGAAGGATGTAGTAGATGGTATATTTCAGTTTCCAGATTTACACTCAGCTCTGAGCTTACTGATCTCCCCATGCAGAAGCTTCTCATTTTGAGATACCACTGATAATCCTGGCAGAAGGGGAGAGAATCTGTCAAGGGTTTGTTTCAGAGACAAAGTAGAGGCTATGCAGAGAAAGAAAGAGCTGGAGCAGAATCAGAGAGATGCCTCTGTCTGGCCAGCTCTTCACTGTGACAGCCCTTGGTCTAGATTTTCTCTTTGCATTGCAAGACCAGAGAAGGAAGGTGAGTAAGCATACTGCACAGATTCTCTGTGGTGCTGTGCTGCTAGAGTGAAGTTCCAGTGAGGGGAAGAGGCATTCTAACATTTTCACTTTCTGTTCTAGCCGGTTTACAAACTGACTCAGAGACAGGTGAACATCACTGTACAGAAGAAGGTGAGTCAGTGGTGGGAACGGCTCACCAAGCAGGAGAAGCGTCCACTGTTTTTGGCCCCTGACTTTGATCGCTGGCTGGATGAATCGGATGCTGAAATGGAACTCAGAGCCAAGGTCAGTAAGGATTCCCAAACCTTGCCATTGAAGATGGAGAACTGAGGAATTCCAGTTACTCAGGTCACTTCAGGTTCCTCTAAGAGTCTCATAGGATGGGGATGAAGGTACAATTCCTTTAAAGACTTGGACCTTTTTGAATGAATGAATTTATTAATGGTCCCAGGGCTTGAACTCAGGGCCTAGGTGTTGTCCCTGAGGTTTTGTGCTCAAGGCTAGTGCTCTATCACTTTTGAACTCTACCGTTGTGAGCCACAGCTGACTTTTTTTTTTTTTTTTTGGTAGTTAGTTGGAGGTAAGAGTATCACAGGCTTTCCTGCTCGGGTTGGCTTTGAACTGTGATCCTCAAATCTCAGTCTCCTCAGTAGCTAGTATTATATGTGTGTACATATGTAAAAATGTACACACTCTAGGCCTGGCCCTAGAGTTTTAGGGCAGTACTCTCCCATGTGTGTTGTAGACTCTTTGTTTGTTTGTTTGTTTGTTTTTGGTCATGGGGCTTGAACTCTGGGCCTGGGTGCTGTCTCTCAGCTCTTCAACTCAAGACAAGTGCTCTACCGCTTGAGCCACAATGCCATTTCCAGTTTTCTAGTGGTTTATTGGAGATAAGGGTCTCACGGACTTCCCTGCCCGGGCTGGTTTTGAACCTCGATCCTCAGATCTCAGCCTCCTGAGTAGCTAGGATTACAGGTGTGAGCCACGGGAGCCTGGCTTGTTGTAGACTCTTATCTCATGGATTTTTCTGCCCTGTCTTTGAACTGTAATCCTCAGATATCAGCCTTCTGACTAGGTAGGATTCAGGCATGAGACATTGGTGCTGGCTGAGTCGGGCTTTTTAATATCATCAGCGGGGTCTCTTTCCCCAGTGGAACATGCACACAGTTAGAGGAGGTAGCTTAAGGGAGTCAGATCACTTACCCAGAAAATGGGCTTGTGCAGCATCTGGGAATCCTAACTTGTGTCCTTGAGAAATTTCTGTCTTAATTTCTAGGAGGAAGAACGCCTAAATAAACTCAGAATGGAAAGTGAAGGCTCCCCTGAAAGTAAGTTGCTCCTGTTGGGAGCGTAACTACTGCTCATCGAGGTGGGGTGGCGGTGGATGTGATAGGGTTACCACAGAGAATGTTTGGATGTGTGTATGACAAGTCCTTTATGTCTGACGCCTAAGCTATGCACACCTACCTCAGTAGCCTTACTTTAAATTTCCTGTTCGAGATCTGACACTGTCTGCATTTGCCAGGGCTGCTCTAGCAGAATGGAAGAATCTCAGTCTCCTGGGCTGAGGGCAGATGGCACCCAAAGCCTGCATAGGCATGTGGAATGTGCACAGTCCAGCCTGTACTCCTTCACCCGTGCATTTCTCTCCCACCTGAGTCCTGAGGGGCTTTACTATAGACAAGTGTGAAGATAATTCTGTGTAGCCCTGCTGTCCATGAACCTTTAAAAAAATCCATTTCTGGGCTGGGAAAGTGGCTCAGTGGTAGAGTGCTTGCCTAGCACGCAGGAAGCCCTGGATTCGATTCCTCAGTACCTCATACACAGAAAAAGCCAGAAGTGGTGCTGTGGCTCAAGTGGCTAGCCTTGAGCAAAAGCAGCTCAGGGACAGTGCCCAGGCCCTGAGTTCAAGCCCCAGGACTGGCAAAAAAAAAGGAAAAATCCATTTCTGTAGAGGTGGTGAGGTAAGGTCAAGGGGAGGAGGGGTAGGTGAATGGAGAGAGGAAGGGTGGCCAGCGAACACAGCCATAGTGTTCAGTGTACATATATAAAAACGGTACAGGCAAATTGAGGGGATGAGTGGGGTTGGGAGACGGGTTGAATTATAAAATGGGTGCCATTGATCAGATTGCATAAACTAACATGTTGAATTGAAGTCCCTTTTAATTAAAAAAGGAAAACAAAATCCATTTTTATTTCTTTTTTTTTTTGGTCAGTGGTGGGGCTTGAACTCTGGGCCTGGGCGCTGTCCTCAGCTCTTTAGCTCAAGGCGAGCACTCTATCATTTGAGTCACAGTGCCACTTCCAGTTTTCTGTGTGGTTTATTGAAGAGTCTCACAGACTTTTACTGCCCAGGCTGACTTTGAACTACAATCCTCAGATCTCAGCCTCCTCAGTAGCTATGATTACAGGCATGAGCTACCGGCACCCGGCTTTCCATTTCTATTTCTGTCCGATGAGTTATCAGCAGGAAACTCTGTAAGTGTAGGTATTATTTAGGTTGCATAGTTAGATGAGAATCTTCAGCTGTTTATTACACTCATGCCACGTGCAAAGCATGGGCCCGATGAATCCATCATGGGCTCCCTGTAGGTGGATTAGAAGAACAATGTAGTGGCAAGTGTGTGCGGGTCTGTGAAGAGCTATCTCTGAACAGCCGAAAGAAGTAAGTCTCTTCATTCATTCCAGGTTGCCTTTTGTTCAAGTTTTGTGGCACTTACCTGGCATGCCATATAAGGAAGAGGAAAGATTTTTGTGTGTGTGTTGGCACTGGCACTCGTTTTCTCACTCAAGGGTGGCATTCTGCTTAAGCCACAGCTCCACTTCTGGCTTTTTGCTGGTTAATTGGAGATTAGAGTCTCATGGACTTCTGCCTTGGCTGGCTTCCAACTGTGATCCTTAGATCTCAGTTTTGTAAGTAGAATTACAAGCAAGAGCCCTTGAGGCCCAGCCTCAGCCCTGTTCTGGAGGACAGTCCTTTCCTTTCCCTCCTCAGACTCAGTCATGGTTCTAAGCTCCTTCCTTCTCCCTTAACTCTGTAGTCAGCTGATCCTTCACAAGCTGTAAATGTCCTTTTCCTTTGGTTTTGTCCTCATCCTGCCTATGAGGCAGGATCCAGCTCAGATACCAGTCTAGCCACCCACACCTGCTGGGGCCCGCTGCCATCTCCCACCTTGAACATTTCAAGACTTTTCTGGATGCTCTCCAGCATGCATCGTGGCGTTGCAGTTGAAGGAGTTTGAGAGCAGTGTCCTGGGTCATGGGTTCACTTTTGTACCCCAGCCGTGTCCCTCATAGGGCCTGGCACACTTGGTGTTTACCTGGTGATTGCTAAGGGAATAGGTGAGCAAATGTCAGGGTGACTTGTATTTTGTTTCCTGTTTTTGCTTCTTGGAGCTAGTGACTTGCATGACCTTCACATTTCTGTTCTATGAGGCCGTGTCAGAGGTCATGGTTTTGTGCCGGGCAATGTCTTTCTCCTGGGCTTGCGGAGTCTGAGGGCTGGAAGTTGTCCGGACACAGACAGCTCCTCTCTGTGACCACTGCGGTTACAGTTCACTGCCTTGCTTTGCTTTTCAGCTCTCACAAGCTTGAAGAAAGGATACCTGTTCATGTACAACCTTGTGCAGTTCTTGGGGTTCTCCTGGATCTTTGTCAACTTGACAGTGCGGTTCTTTATCTTGGGAAAAGGCAAGTATACTATCATCAGAGCTACGGTTTCCCTTTCTCAGTAGTTTGGCCCACTGCCCACCCATAACAGCACTCTGCACCTTTGAAATGAACAGTAACCGGGGTTTGCGTAGCACCTTCCTGCCTCTCACTGTGCTTTTCACAGTGCTCAGCTCCCTTGGCCTTGCAAAACAGGCTGGCTGGATATTCGTCCATGTAACAAGCAGGGAAACAGGCCTAGAGATTTCACTCTGCAAATAGGTTCCTAACCTATCAGTCCATAGGCTGGGAACAGTGGCTCATGCATGTAATCCTAGCTACTCTTGGGGGCAGAGATTTGTTCAAATGTCTTACCAATGAGGGATTAGTTTGAGTTTTTAAAATTCTTCTTTATTTTGTAAAATATATGGTATATGGTAAGAACTATAAGTATTTGGAAAATGTAAATTCTAAAAAGAAGACAACTGGGGCTGGAGGTGTGCTCAAGTAGTAGAGAGCCTGGCTAGCAAGTACAAGGCACCAAGTTCAAACTGCCTCCTCCCCCCAAAAAATATGACCGGAAAAAAGACCAGGAAAAAGATTGGGTACAAGTCTATCTGGGTAAAAATTGATTAAAGCCACCCAATCTCAACAATAAAAGCTGGGTGGTGGTAGCACATGTCTATCATCCCAGCTATGAGAGAGGTATAAGTAGGAGGATTGTAGTTCAGGTCATCTTGGGCAAAAACATGCTATCCTATGTCAAAACACAACTAAAGCAAAAAGGGCCAGGGGCTGGACTCAAGTCTTTTAGCATCCAACTAGCAAGTAGAAGGCTCTGAATTCAAACTGCAGTACCACCAAGGAAAGGTAGAAAAGTCCTGTTGACTGTTTTATTCTCCTTTCTAAAAGTTTCCACCTGCAGTTTATAAGAGGTGAGTCATAGTTAGCTTTACAGTCATCTGAACAAACTTTTTGTTGTTTTCTCGTGGTGCTGGAGATTGAACTCAGGGCCTTCTACATGCTAGGGAAGCACCATGGAGCTACATCCGCCAGCCCTTAGAATATTGAAGCATTTGAACACAAATTGCATAATTGCATACGAAATAATTATGTAACTACAAGAGAAAGACTAGGAAAATTATATGGAAATATGACTAAGGGAGCAGAGATCACACCTTGTACCCCTACCTCTGATTTTTCCTGTTTTCCAAACTTCCATAAATGAGTAAGTTACTTTTATGTTTATTATTTTTGTGCTGGTACTAAGGCTTGAGTTCAGGGCCTGGGCACTATACCTTAGCTTTTGATGGTTAATTGGGCATAAGAATCTCACAAACATTCCTGTCCAGACTGGCTTCTAACCTCAGTCCTCAGATCTCGGCCTCCTGAGTAGCTAGAGTTCGTAGGTATGAGCCACTGGTGCTAGGCTAGAGAAAGGTTTTTATAGTCCTAAAAGGTACTCACATGCTAACTGGATACGGTGTTGTTTTTTGTCTGTTTTGGTTTTTGCCGGTCCTAGGCCTTGAACTCTGGGTCTGGGTGCTGTCACTAAGCTCCTTTTGCACAAGGTTATCCCTCTAAAACTTGAGTTATAGCACCGCTTGCAGCTTTTTCTGTGATTACTTAGAGACAAGAGGCTCATAGACTTTCCTGCTCAGGCTGGTTTCAAACCATAATCCTCAGATCTCAGCCTCCTGAGTAGCTAGGATTACAGATGTGAGGCACCAGCACCTAGCTTGAATATGGGGTTTAATCTATGGTACCATGAAACAGTACACTCTGGAAAGATAATTGGCCTAATGCATCCAGTTGTCAAAATATAATTTGTGCTTTAATCTTGTCACTCCACTTTTAAGAATTTGTCCTTAGGAAGTTAATAATGATCTGTGTAATTACGCTATGAGAACTAGAATACTGGTTGAACTTCACTGATTGGGTTACCCTTAATGTGCATCTGTGCCTACAGAGTCCTTTTACGACACTTTCCACTCGGTGGCCGACATGATGTATTTCTGCCAGATGTTGGCGCTTGTGGAAACCATCAATGCAGCAATCGGAGTCACTAGCTCGCCAGTATTGCCTTCTCTCCTCCAGGTACTGAGTGGTTGCGTTTGAGGGTAGGAATGAATGATTTTAGTATGTATCTTGTAGATGTGTCATCATATGCTACATTTCAGTAACTAGGAATGTCTATATATATATATATATATATATATATATATATATACACATGGAAATAGCCATGTTTTATGTGAAAAAGGAAAATTTTTAGATGTCAAGGATACTGTCCAAGGTAGATCTTTACAACTGGGTCCTGGTGGCTTATGCCTATATTTCCCACTATTCAATAGGCTACAACTCTTACCTCCAATTAACTATCAATTAGCTAGAAGTGGAGGTGTGCTCAAATGGTAGAACAGGCTTGGGCATAAAAGGTAAGGGAGAATGCCCAGGCCCAAAGTTTAAGCCTTGGCATTGGAACAATAACAAGAAGTCCAAAGTAGACCTTTACCTTTGCAAGCCTATTAAATTATTATAAGGTGGAAAGTTTTTTTTTTATGTCAAAGGCCATTTGGATGTTTATAACATCATTCAAAGGCCATACAAAAGCATTAATACAGGTAGATGGCTAAGAGGAGCAGACTAGAAGCATACGAGAAATAGAGATGTCTGTCCTGTCATGTACCAAATGATTTTTCGGCCTTACAGGGCCCGAGAACTGTATGTTACAACTTTGTAAATGTTACAAACTTTTTTTTTTTTTTTTGGCAGTCATGGGGCCTGAATTCAGGACCTGGACTCTGTCCCTGAACTCTTTTGCTCAAGGCTAGTGCTCTACCACTTGAGCCACAGCACCACTTCTGTTTTTCTGGTGGTTAACTTTGTAGATAAGAGTCTCACAGACTTTCCTGGCTGGGCTGACTTTGAACCATGATCCTCAGATCTCAGCATTCTGAGTAGCTAGGATTACAGGTATGAGCCACCAGCACCCAGCAGATTACAAATTTTATAACATTACCAGTATTGCCTTTTCTCCTCCAGGGATTATAAAATTATAAAAAGAGATTCTCACAAAATTATAAACAGGACTTCAAAGCAATCGGGGATAGAAAAACATACCCTTAGTCTCTGGGTAGATGAAGGAGTTCTTGTCCCTGTTGTGACTTTCCTCTACTAATGCAGCTATTTGGTTTCCTTTGCCACTGGCTGCCAGTAATATGGCACCTAGATCCTTGCCCTGGTTCGTAGCTGTTCGATCGCACTCCATTAGGTTCCAGCTAGGCAGCTGCAGAGGCCGCCCATGATGGGTGGTCATCTCCTCTATGTCCTGTGTCCCTAGCTCATGCTGGTAATGTTATAAAATTTGTAATTTGCTGGGTGCTGGTGGCTCATACCTATAATCCTAGCTACTCAGAACGTTGAGATCTGAGGATCATGGTTCAAAGTCAGCCCAGCCAGGAAAATCTGTGTCAGCTGATGCTGATGCTGACTGTGGCTATGAACAGGAAAGAAGACACTTAAGACAATATAAAAAGGTTTGAAAAAAGAGGCAGATAGAACTTCTATTAATGAAAAATGCAATAACCTAATTTTAAAATTTGTTGGATAGCTTTGGAAGTGTGTTAGACACATCTGAAGTAAAAATTAGTGGATTATTTAAACACAGGAGAGAGCACAAAAAGTATTGACATAATTTTCTTGAATTGTAAGACTCAGTAGTACATTCTCATTTTTTTTTTTTTTTGGGTCGGTTGTGGGGCCTGAACTCTGGGCCTGGGCACTGTCCCTCAGCTCTTCAGCTCAAGGCTAGTGTTCTACCACTTGAGCCACTGCGCCACTTCTGGCTTTTTCTGCTTATGTGGTGCTAAGGAATGAACCCAGAGGCTCATGCATGCAAGGCAAGCACTCTACCACTGAGCCACTTTCCCAACCCCCATTCTCATTTGTAGAGTAAATGTAATTCCAATTAAAATACAAACAGTTTTGCAATGATACATTTCTGAAATTTTGTGAAAAACAAAAGACTTCAGGTGGTAGTTTATTCAAACTAGCTAAAAGTAGAATACCACCAATATGCCGATAGAGAATGGAGAAGAAGAAAGTGGCATAGGCACTGGGTCTTGGGATCCAGTGCTAGTCACAGAAATGCAGATAGTGCACGGCTGTACTTGGGGAGGCATTTAGACTAATGAAGACAGAGACAGCAACCATCGAAGTATGCTGTGAAGATACAGGATGGTGGACCAGTTCTTTTTTTTGGGGGGGGGGTCTGGTCGTGGGGCCTGGGCGCTGTCCCTCAGCTCTTCAGCTCAAGGCCAGTGCTCTACCACTTTTGAGCCACAGCGCCACTTCCGGCTTTTTTCTTTTTGCTTATGTGGTGCTAAGGAATCAAACCCAGGGCCTCAGGCATGCAAGGCAAGCGCTCTACCACTGAGCCACCTTCCCAGCCCCGGTGGACCAGTTCTTTAACTTGGCCGTGGAAACAAGTCACAAATGTTCGCTGTCAGTATTTTATAAATTGTGTGTGTGTGTGTGTGTGTGTGTGTGTGTGTGTGTGTGTGTGGCATTTCCGATGCACTAGGGCACACCAAAGTACCAGGCTGGCATGGGTACTTAAGCCCATCCTTGTAGATGGAAAGGAACAGTCTTGTTGACTCCATGTTTCCCACTTCCGCTCACCTAGTGGGACTGCATAAAGTGTTTCTGTGGCACCTGTACGTATTTTTCACTTGTTCTTTTTCTCACTTGGGTCTTTTTAATAGCTTCTTGGAAGAAATTTTATTTTGTTTATTGTCTTTGGCACCATGGAAGAAATGCAAAACAAAGCTGTGGTTTTCTTCGTGTTTTATTTTTGGAGCATGATTGAAATTTTCAGGTGAGTACAAATGCCGGTATATTTGAATGCCTCTTGCTCTCTGAGCAGTTCTCTTCGTGAGGGACTTCCTGTCTTGGCCAGAGTCTCATTAAGTTTGGGTTATGGATGTGGAGAATTCTTCTTTAAAAAAATTAGCATACATTAGTTTATGAAGGTTGGGAGTGTTCATTGTGATGTTTCTGCACATGTAAACTGTATCCTCATCAATCATCTCTTGTATAACTCACCCCATCCTGCCCCCTTTTGAAAAGTTTCTGCAGTTTTCATTGTTTTATTTTCATAAATGCACATAAGCTACTTTGACAGCGTCTTCATTCATTGTTTGTTAGCCCCCCTCCCTCCTGCTGTTACACGCTACCCCTATCCGAGCCTGTCTTAGTTTGTACTTTCCTATCTCTTTTTTTTTTCCCTCAGTCCTGCGCTTGAACTCAGGGCCTGGGCGCTCTCCCTGAGCTTCTTTTTTTTGTTTTGGGTCCGGTCATGGGGCCTGAACTCTGGGCCTGGGCGCTATTCCTCAGCTCTTCAGCTCAAGGCTAGCGCTCTACCACTTGAGCCACAGTACCACTTCCGCCTTTTTTTCTTTTTGCTTATGTGGTGCTGAGGAATGGAACCCAGGGCCTCATGCATGCAAGGCAAGCGCTCTACCACTGAGCCAACTTCCCAGCCCCTCCCCGAGTTTCTTTTTGCTCAGGCTAGCCCTCTACCACTTGAGCCACAGTACCACTTCCAGCTTTTTTTGTGTGTATATGGTACTGAGGAATGGAACCCAGGGCTTCCTGCATGCTAGGTGAGCACTCTGTCACTAAGCCACATTCCCAGCACATCTTTTTGTTTAGGTTCTAGTACCAGGGCTTGAACTCAGGGCCTCACACTCACAGCTGGCACTCTACCTCTTATATGCACGTTACATGTGTGCACGTACATGCATGTTTGTGTGTGTGTGTTGATTGCACCAAAGAATTTCATGTTTCAGACATGGACATATTATATTTGTTCTGAATAACCTACTCTCTGTTGTTTTCTCTTCCTCAACTCCTATTGACCAGCAGCTTTTGTTGAGATTCTTACATCATTGAGAATGTGGAGAATTCTAGCCACATTAGTGTGCTTTGCCAAGTCAAGGGAGATCTTTTAAAGCAATGCTTGGAACCTGTGTACTAGGGAGCAGAAGAGAAGCAGGGAAATGAAAGACCCAAGTCAGGCATAGCATGAACATGCTTGTAATCCCACCATTCAGGAGGATGAGGCAGGAGGGTTGGTGAGCTCAAGGCCAGCCTGGGCTACATAGTGGGTCGGCCTGGACCACATTAGGAGAACCTAGCTCAAAAACCGAAAAGAAGCTGGGTGCTGGTGGCTCACACCTGTAATCCTAGCTACTCAGGAGGCTGAGATCTGAGGATTGTGGTTCAAAGCCAGCCCAGGCAGGAAAGTCCGTGAGACTCTTATCTCCAGTTAAGTACCAGAAAACTGGAAGTAGCTCAAGTGGTAGAGTGTTTGCCTTGAGCTGAAGAGCTCAGGGACAGCACCCAGCCTTGAGCTGAAAAGCTCAGGGACAGCACCCAGGCCCAGAGTTCAAGCCCCACTACTGACCACCCCCATCCCCTCCCCACCCCCCGCAAAAAAAAAAAAAAAAGGAAAAAGGAAAGTCCATTCTTACTATGACTGTAAGATCTTGTTGTGTCCAAAAGATCCAAGGCCCACCCACAAAGAAAATACTTGATAGGGCTGAAGAAATACGACATTGAAGGAAGAGTTCATGTTGTATGGAATTGGTCAAGGTAGCTTACTAGATAGTAGATAAATTCTTTTAGGGTCAAGTGTTATGTTCCTGTCTGTAATCTTAGCTATTTAGGAGGCTGAGATTGGGAGGACCGTGGTTTGAAGCCAAACCTCAACTCTTCTTGTGTGTGTGTGCCATTCAGAACAAAAGCATCATGCTCTCCTTAGATGATTTCCTCACAGCTGGTGTTCTACCACGTAAGCCATGCCTCCTATCCAGTTCCTCTGCTGGTTAGAGAAGAGTACGTAGACTTAGAGAAGATTTACACACCAAAAACCAGACCCACTAGGAGTGTTTGCCACAGCCACAAGGAGTATCACACACTTTTCTGTTTTTGTTGGCTTTAAACTGGGATCCTCTAGGTTTTGGCTTCCTAACTAATTAGAATCACAGGAGTGAGCCAGGTGTCCAGCTTGAACCTCAACTTTCTGCAAGCAAAGAGTTGGCAAGATCCCATTTCAGCCAGTATGCTGGGCATGGTGGGAAACATTTGTGATCCCAGCCACAACAGAGGATGTAGGATCAATGTCTTGAAATCAGCCCAGGCAGAAATGTTAAATTCTACCTGTAAAAACAAAGCCAAAATGGCTGGGGATGTAATTCAAATGGTAGAGCACCTGCCTAACAGACAAGAAGCCCTGAGTTCAAACTGCCCCTCTCCCCCACCTCCCCCATTCTCCTAAAAAAAGGTTTGCTACATACGTTGATAAGAATTCCCTGAGACCTCAACTTCGTCAGTAAAGGAGTGGGTAGGTAGCCAGGATTCAAATAATGTTGTAAAGAAGCATGTGTGCACACACATGATATGCCAGTATTGGGATTTGAACTCGAGGCCTAAGCACTGTCCCTTAGCTTTTTCACTCAAAGCTGGCACTCACCATTTGTGCCATAACTCCACTTCTGACTTTTTGCTGGTTAACTGGAGTCTCATGGACTTTCCCGCCGTGCTGGCTTCAAACTGCAGTCCTCAGATCTGAGTCTGCTGAGCAGCTAGGATTATAGGCATGAGCCACACACATCCATGGTACTTGTAGGGTTGCATTCGAACCTGACGGTTTCACACTGGCATCCCTGTTCCTGTCAGGTACCCCTTCTACATGCTCACTTGCATCGACATGGACTGGAAGGTACTCACCTGGCTTCGCTACACCGTGTGGATTCCCATCTACCCTCTGGGATGTTTGGCAGAAGGTATTTTCAGAAACAAGATCTCATAGCAAGGCTCCTAGGCTGCCCAGTGGCTAAGAGAACAGTGGTTTCAGCTCTGCCAGCCTGAGCCTGATGACTAGGGTATTAGTCTGATAACTAGGGTATTGGACTTCTCAGGATTTCTTCCTTGCACCCTCTTTCCCTCATGTCTCTGGCTCTTGCAGAGACAGCTGGTATAAGGTTTGGCAGCTGGGGGTTCATTTATGGTATGCTCTTAGGAGTTCTTAGGAGTTGTGTGTTTGTTTTATTCTGATCCACACCCAGTGAATTCTGGTATGATTCCTCTCCCGGTGCCATGCCTATCCTTGCTCCTCTCAGTGGACAGCCTGGGTACCTCAGGACCTGGGGAGGAAAGCAGTGGCCCAAGCTTTGCGTTGAAGGGGCCGGGGAAAGCAGTGGCCCAAGCTTTGCGTTGAAGGGGCGGGCGAAGGAAGAGCCTCCAGCCCTCCTGCTGAGGGCTTGGGCAGGCAGCTGGGGCTGGGCGGCAGGCCTGTGTCCCACACTGCTGATGAGCTCTCTCTCTGTCTGCAGCGGTCTCCGTGATCCAGTCCATTCCTGTGTTTAACGAGTCAGGAAGATTCAGTTTCACATTGCCATATCCTGTGAAAATCAAAGTGCGATTTTCCTTTTTCCTTCAGGTTTATCTTATCATGTTATTTTTAGGTAAGTATTTTCTCGGTGACGTAGATGTTTTTTCCTGTTGAATGGTTTAGCGTTTTAAGTGTCCTTACTAGCTAGCTTTTTCTGGAAGAGTACATAGCCTTAGAGAAGATGTACACAGCAAAAACTACACCTACCAGGAGTGTCTACCACAGCCTCAAACAGCATTAGAAATGCTTTGACAACAGAGTAGGAGCCAGCCTGGGCTACAGAAATGCACTACAGCAGCCTATATATATATTAGTTATTGCTGGGTTCTAACAAATCATCACAAGGCTTAATTAAGTAGCAAAAAATTGCAAACCTTTATTGCATTCCATGGTTCTAGCTCCAGGTCTCTCCTGGGACTCCAGTCAGGCTGGCAAGTGGAGGAGGTGTGCTCAGCTCACTCTGGTTGCTGTGGTCCCATTCCTCGGTAGCCCCCGAGCAGGTGATCAGAAACAGAACGTAATCTCAGAAGGGACCCAGTGCTCCAGCCCAGTGCTGGAGGAAAATGTATAGGAAATACCCGGCATGTGGAGGCTGGGAGTCCCAGAGGGTGAAGCCAGAAAGTTGGCGTCCTGGTCACTTTGTACTGGAGAGAAGATCTACTCCCTCAGGGGATGAGCAAGGTTAACTTTCCTGGTTTCCTACTTCAGCACAGGGTGTATTCATTCCAGAAGGATTTCTCACCAAAAATGTGAATCTGTTTGTGGATGTGGTATAGAAACGCTTCTTGAGCTTGTGAAGTGCACCGTTTGGGAATTGTTTATCTCATAGCTCACTGTGCAGTCCAATATTCCTGTCAGCACGAAGCAGCACAGGGCATGTGGGAAGGTGAAGGAAATGTTGGGAAGACACTTTGGATGGAAATGGGGATAGAAATTGGGACAGAACTATGTCAGCACACAGTCGCCTGGTAGCTTTGTATTATATTAGTGCACACTGTTAATTTGTAATATTCAGTATAGTTCTTACTCTTCAAAATGAAGTAAATCTTAATTTCAAAACCAATTAGTACTTAATAGGTTAGAGCACTTTTTTTTTTGTTGTTGTTGTTGTGGGGCTTGAGCTCTGGGCTCGGGCACTGTTCCTATGCTTTTCAGCTCAAGGCGAGTGCTGTACTGCTTGAGCTACAGCACCACTTCCAGTTTTCTAGTGATTAACTGGAGATAAGAGTCTCACAGCCTTTCCTGCCTGGCCTGGCTTTGAACGGTGATCCTCAGATCTCAGCCTCCTGAGTAGCTAGGATTACAGGCATGAGACACCAGCACCTGGCAGAACTTTTTTTTTTTTTAACATCTATTCATTTTTTTCACAGTTAAGTTTATAAAATGAAAATTGAGGCAAGGCTAAGCTACAACCTACTCAGTGATCACATGATACAAATTGTATCTGACACTGAAATCCAGTTTCCTGTCACTGAATTGTGTCTTACACCTTTTAGATTGTTGCTTAATACATGCTCTTGAGTAGCTGTGCAGTAAGTTATTCCCTCACTCCTGAGTTAATACACAAGGGGGAAAAAGTGTTGAACTGTGCTTGCTGACACAGGTAGGGTGAAGTGTGTTGTGTCTGCACTGAGTTGAACTGCCTAGATGAGTAGATTAGGTGATATGGTATAGTAAAAATGTCTTAAAGATCTTACCTTTGTTTTAAAGTTCTACAGACTTTTAAATGGAGAATATTAATGGAGTTGTGTTGTCTCGAGGGCAGGTTCTGCGGCCCACTCTTGTGCTTCCACTTACACAGGATGGACAAGGTTTGCAATTCTGACCACCTGTTTTCTCTTCTCAGGGTTGTACATAAATTTCCGTCACCTTTATAAACAGCGCAGGAGGCGCTATGGACAAAAAAAGAAGAAGATCCACTGAGGAGACTCAGATAGACAGCTTCTTGCCAGTTTGAGCCTCATCTGTGATTCTTACTGTTTTACCTGGTACTGATGTAAGTTTTTTTTTTTTTAAAGTTCAAACACATTTTCAGTGAGTCCATCTTTCTTCTTTCCCCGTAACATTCCTGAATTTACTGTATTGTTAGTGTAGGACTTGCATGACACAGATCCTCACCTCTGACAACAGGTTCACTCTTGTGTATTTAATGGCAACGAAGCCTCCACCCTGGCTGCTTCTTGTCAGTGTGTTATGTACACGCCAGGGACGGCTCCAAGGCCCTCGCCCTCCAAGGCTTTGCGCATCCTTGCAGTTAGGATTTGCGCTAGTCAGCTCTTGCTTTTTGTGAAAAAAGTCTATTAATACTCTACAGAAGGCCGTTGGAAAGGACTGGGGCAGGACTGTATCTGAGGGGTTCCTTTAGTAGTGGAGTGTTATGGACGTTTCTGGGGAACACTGAACAGCTGATATCTATTGGCCTAACCACATCTGTCACTGCAGTGCTTACTTGTGTGGGCAGGGACGAGGCCAAGCGAGTTAAGAGAAACCAATCAGAACTGTGATCACTTCCTTCTTAGCTAACTCCTTTCAACACTAGACAAAGAGGGGCTATAACATAGAGGCTCTCATGAGATTACGAGCGTCCCTAGGCTACACTGGCAGGAATCAGTTGCTGGCAGTGCAGCCTGGCAGACAGGAAAGGTCAGAGGCTAGACGTGCTCATGCTGCCAGGCTGCTTCTCTCAGGCTCAGTCCCTACGTGAGTACTTTTTTGTCTGAGAAGTGGCACACACAATGCATTTTCTGAACCTCAAAACACTAGCTTTTTTTTTTTAACCTGTCTGCAGTAGGACACAGAGCAGGAACTTTGGGAACAACCAGCTGATCCTTATCAAGGATTTCTGGCAGGAAACCCACCAAAAGACGACCTGAGAAAATCTAGACATTATAGTAAAAAAAAAACAAATCAGATTCCTCCAATACATTCCATGTAGACCAAATAAAAGTGTTAGAAGTAACACTTGTCTGAGGAGCTAGGGCCTGGTAGCTCTCTCCTGCCATCCCCATTGTTCTTGGGGGAAGGAGACTTGCTGAACTGTCCTGTTCCACTGAGCCTAACCCGGAAGCCTGCTGTGACCTAAACCATTGATTAGTGATGGGCATACACTGGCTGTTACTTGAAAAGTTCTTGGCACCTGGCAGGGAAGGGTGCTTGGCACGTCTGAACTCCTGTCAGCACTTGTTCGTTTTGATTCCTGCTGTCCTTCAGCTCTGTGATCGGGCTTATCAGCTTTGCAATGGATTTCGCTGAGTCCTTGTGACAAAAATCCTGTATTCTTTGCGAGTGTTAAGATCCTTCCCCTTTATTGCTGTCTGAAAAAGTGAAAGATTGTGTATTTCTATTAAAACATTTACAATCAAAATTCTGACTGCTTGTGCTTGAAGATGATTACGGGTCATATTTTTGTCTTGTGTCTGCTAACAGAAGCAGTTGCTCGAGCACTCCTGATGAAAGTATAGAGGAGCTGGAAAAGGGGGTGCTAAAGGAGGTGCCCAGAAGTCCTGGCTTGCCCAAGTTTGAGGCAGGCCTGTGCTAGAGACCAGGGGAGCACAAGCCTTAGAAATGAACATGAGGAACAGAGCTGGAGTCAAGGGACAGCACACATTCCTCAGTGAAACCATTTTATAGAAAACCACATATTTTACTTCAGTTTTTAAAAAAAACTTGAAGAAACAAGAATCATTTACACACATGGCTACTGTTACCAAAAGCACCTAAGGGTTACCACCACATTTTGCCGAGTTCTAAAGAAAGTTCTGGAACTCACAAGCCAGAGAATCCTTGTGGGCAGGTTGGCCAAGAAGGTAGGGGCTCAGTGCTTGTCTTGTCCTTGCTTTTCAGGAGCTGTGCTCCTCTCAGAGCAACCAGGACTATCTTCCAGGCCTATTGACAGGGCCAGGGCCCAAGCCCAAGCTTTGAGCCCTTCCTCCCCACCCTGATCACAGCACTGCTGGGCAGCATGGGACCACACGGGAAAGGCTTTTCTGTTCAAATAGGAGCTAGGCAAGGAAGGTCCAAGGCAGGCCTCACATCCTCTCTGCGCTGCTCCCCGAAAAGTCTGTGTGCAGCGGGGTGATGTTGTGGTCGTGCGCGGCGTACTCAGAGGTGCCGGTGCTAGCCAGCTTGAGCTGTTGGGCGGCGTGGGTGAGCTGGAACGCGGCATCGGGGTGCGCCGTGTCAGGCAGCAGTGTGCATTCCCGCTCTAGCATGTCTGCCACGCCCTTGAGCAGGTCCAGGAAGCCAAAGGCCAGGGCAGCCTTTCGTAATCGGTTCAGCTCCTGCAACAGAAGCAGCCCTCATGTCCTCGCTGCCTCCCTTTTCAGTGCTCAGCTCAGAGTAAGCTCTTTGACCTCACCTTTTAGGGATCATTGTTTTGGTTTTGGTGCCAGTCCTGGGACTTGAATTTAGGGCCTGGGTGCTGTTTCTGAGCTGCTTTTGCTCAAAGCTAGTGTTTTCCCACTTGAGCCACAGTGCCACTTCGGCTTTTTTTGAATAGTTATTGGAGATCCTTTCCTGCCAGGGCTGGCTCTGAACCATGAGCCTCAGATTTCAGCCTCTTGAGTAGTATTACAGGCAGTAGCTATCAGCATCTGGCTTGGAGAGCATTTTTTTGGTCGGTCATATGGTTTGAACTCTGGGCCTGGACACTGTTCCTGAGCTCTTCAGCTCAAGGCTAGAGCTCTACAATTTGAGCCACAGTACTACTTCCAGTTTTCTGGTGGTTTATTGGAAATGTCTCATGGACTTTCCTGCCTGGGCTGGCTTTGAACTGCGATCCTCAGATCTCAGCCTTCTTAGTAGCTAGAGTTACAGGTGTGAGCCACCGGCGCCCGATTTGGGGGGCGTTTTTATAGGAGAACATGTTTGTACATAGAGACACCAGTAATCTGAGTGTGGGGACCAGTGGTTCTGGTCCAGGAGAAGGCAGCGAGAGGAGGTTTGTGAGCCAAATGTGATGAGCAATGTGTGTACATCACCTACTAGGCACTACATGAAGACTTGGTTCTTGTCTATCTTCAAGGCTGGCGAAGGCTTGCCAGGAGGCTGGGAACCTTCCGTGCCTTGCAGTGACAATGCACCTGTCTGCAGGAGCTGGGCTGGACAGACTCCTCAGCAAGGCTGGGTAGCAGAGGGATCTGTGCGAGTTGGGAAGCCTCTGGTCTTAGGCCTCGTGTACACATTACACATAACCACTGCAGAGGCCGTTGCTAGCTGACTACTTCTCTACTAAAAGGTGACAAGTTACGAAAAGGCCACTGAACATGCGTGCCCACCTTAAATAGACAGCGACAAGTCTGGATGGAAAACTACCGAGATGGCGGCAAGGGCCTGTGGACTGGGGAGAGGCCAGCTGACCCAGAGGCTCCCTGGTTAAACTTGATGAACGCAATTCATTCTTCCAGGTGTGGTGACACATCTATAATCCCAGCACTCAGGAGGGTAATGAAGGAGGATTGTGAGTCTAAGGCTAGTCTCTGCTATATAGTGAGACCTGTCTTAAACCAACAAAACAGGGGGATGATTGGGTGGGGGGGCAGGGTGGGGGGGAGGATGGGAAGGGGAAACAAAGGAGGAGGCTATAATGCTTGATAAGAAATGTACTTATTTTCTTGCCCATGTAATTATAACCCCTCTGTACAGTATTTTCACAATAAAAAACAACAAAACATCTGAGCGCTGATGCCTTAATGCCTATAATCTTGCTACTTAGAAAGCTGAAATCTGGGATCATAGTTTGAAGCCAGCCTGGACAGGAAAAGTCCATCAGACTCATCTCTAGTTAACTACCAGAAAACTGGAAGTGGATCTGTGGCTCAAAGTGATAGAACACTAGTTTTTGGCAAAACTCAGGGACAATACCGAGGCCCTGAATTCAAGCCCCATCACCAAAAAACCCAAAAAGCAAAAAACAACCCAGAAACCCCCCAAGCAAGCTGTACATTTGCTTGCTTTCCCAGCTTACATAATTGGGTTTGAAGATAATAGTAAATAAAGGCAATGAGATAAAACCCCAGGCATTGTAGCTTTGTATGTTCTCAGAAGAGATGCTAGCCTGAGGCTGGCGGTGTGCCATGTTTTATGACTAGACAAGGGCACCTCACACCGCCCTGAATCTCATTTCTGCCAGCCTCCACAAGGACGAGGAGGAATGAGATGCAAGTGTAACTGCGCTCCCTGCCGCCACATCCCTGCTCACTTCAGCCTCTCCACCAGACAATTCCCCTAATGGCTGTGGACGGCCGTCTACTCAGGAATTCACTAGAGTAATAGGAAGCCCTTTCAGGAAGTGGCTTCTCAGGTGCACACAGAAGGTTCTGGGCAGTTCCCCACCCCAAGTCCTCCACCTAATGCTGGCCTGGGTAGGACTGGATCTCTGTACAAGAGAGGTAAGGGCTCATTATTCATGGCGGTTCCAACACGGAGAAGCCCTCCATTCTTGGACGCTGAGGCACAAGCGGACCTACCACATCTACGGACTGATTTAACATTGGGTACAAGCTTCCCATGTGATCTCTGCCCATATTCCAGCTGATGGAGGACCATCTACGTGGGGCGCTTCTGGAGCACTTTCTACTCTACTTCAGTCTCACCTTATAGAATGTCTGTGTTTTTTCAGGGAGTTTCCTTGCATTTCTTAAGATCTTCTGTACATCTGTCTATTAAGGAAAAAAGGAATTCAACATTAGAATTCAGTGGTAAAAAGGTGGAAAAATACAGGGGTTAGGAAGGTGGCTTAGTGGTAGAGTGCTTGCCTAGCATGCATGAAGCCTTGGGTTTGATTCCTCAGTATCACATACACAGAAAAAGCTAGAAGTGGCGCTGCGGCTCAAGTGGTAGAGTGCCAGCCTTGAACAAAAGAAGCTCAGGGACAGTGCCCAGGTCCCTGAATTCAAGTTCCAGGACTGGCCAAAAAAAAAAAAAAAAGTGGAAAAGTACAAAAGGGTAATTAAATGGTTAAAGATAGGAAAATGAGAACAGAAAGCAGAATGAATGATCCCTTTTGAGTTAATGTCAGTTAATGTTTAACATTGTGAAACACCTTCCCTTTTCAAAAGGCTTGATGGTATTAGAAAAAAAATTTTTTTGGACAGGCTCTGGAGGCCTATGCCTGTAATCTAACTACCCTGAAGGCTGAGATCTGAGGATTGTGGTTTAAAGCCAACCTGGACTACACAGAGTCAATGAGATGCTTATTTCCAATTAGCCACTAAAAGGCCAGAAGTAGGGCAGTGGCTCAAGTGGTAAAGCACAGTCTTGAGTGAAAAAGGTAAGGGACAGTGCCCAGGCTCAGAGTACAAGCCCTAGTACTGGCACACACAGAGAGACAACACTGATACTACGAGTATTGCTCACTTACTGCCTCACCATGTGAAGAATTTTACTTTAACCTCCGGTGCAGGGAAAATACATCCAAGAAGAACAGACATGCTTTCTTCTACTGGACAAGAGAAACAACCCAACTCACTTCTGTTTTGACCATGGGAGGAGGCCCAGAGCTGCCCTGCTTAAACACAATTACCAGCTGGCCTTGGGTTCCAGGCACAATTCTTTCCATTCTTTATCTAGATTTCTTATTGCTCTAAATTTTATAAAAAATGATTTTGTTTTCTAGGTGTTTTACTGTAGGCCATCTCGAATCCTTTTTGGCAATAATGACACATTATAAGTAAGTGAATTACGGAGTATCAAAGGAGAGGCAAATCAAATCAAATGTCTTTTGCCTGCTAACCCAAATGCGGCCTCCAGTCCCCAAGGAGGGGCGGGCGCGCGTTGCAGATATAATGTTTACCTGTAGGCCACTGGGTTTGATCCAGACAGTCACATTCTGGGCATAGCTGCGTTTGTTTTTGGGTTGCAGGGGGAATGGGCTCTTATTGTCATCCTCACCGTAAGGGTTTTCTTTAGCATCTGCAAGAAAAAGATATTCCAAATGACATATGGCAAACACAATCAATTCCATTTCCAATTAGGCTAGTGGCTCTCTGAGTCATTCAATCTGCTATATCCTATTACCTCATTAATTAAGAAAATCCATTCACCTCAACGAGCTGGAGAACCTGTTTCCAGTAGAAAGCCAGGGATAGTGGACAGCAAGGAATCAAGAGGCCTGCCTAGTGAAGAACAGCTAATGTCCTGAAGAAACAGCTTCACTCGCCTGCCATGTAAGTTAAGGCCAGAGAGGAGAAAAAAGACATACTTGCAATACTAAAGTACATTATTTTCAAACACATATATAAACATACTGTGCTGTGTATATTCTAGTCCACCAGCCAAACTTTCTGTGCTGTCTAATATGGCAGCTATATCTGAGGATCATGGTTTGAAGCTAGCAGGGGAAAAAAAATTTCCCAAGACTCTAACCAGCAAAAAGCCAGAAGTAGAAGTGTGGCTCAAGTGGTAGAGCTCCAGCCCTGGGAGAAAAAGCCAAGTGAGAACATGAGGCCCAGAGGAGTTCAAGCCCAAAGAGTATTTATTAAATTCTACCTGTGTACCAGACACTTTACATATACTGCATATACAGCAAGCCTTGAAGGCGGACAGCAGTCAATCCTATTAAAGATGAGGAACTGAGGCTCAGAGAGTATGTCCTTATGCACTGGTTTGAATCTGTCACCTCTTCCCTCATTCAGCACTGTAGTTCCCCTCCCTCACACCCTGACTTCTCCATGTCTATCTATATCTTATGTCTAGATTCTAGCCAGCAGCCAGCAAGCTGCTCCAAGCTTTTCTTGAGACTCTGTTATCCAACCGTACTCAGTGTCATAGCAACACTGCAACAGCTGACCATGGCCTATCACACACACGTACGTACACACACACACACACGAAGTTACAGGAAGGATGCTAGGTGACATATAGACAATAGGCCTACAGAACAGTGACACATTCAAACATTTAAAGTCAGAATGAGACACACACCACAATGAAAAAAACAGAATCAAGAACTAGCTATATATTGCATTACTCAAAAGATGCAAGTATTTAGCCAGGCTCCGGTGGCTCACGCCTGTAATCCTAGCTACTCAGGAGGCTGAGATCTGAGGAATGTGGTTCAAAGCCAGTCCCGGCAGGAAAGTCCATGAAACTTATCTCCAATAAACCACCAGAAAACTGGAAGTGGAGCTGTAGATTAAGTGGTAGAGTGCTCACCTTGAGCTGAAGAGCTGAGGGATAGCACTCAGGCCCAGAGTTCAAGCTCCACAACTGGCCAAAAAAAAAAAAAAGGATGCAAGTATTTAAGATGATCTGACAGAATTAGGAGGGGTCAGTCTCAACCATGGAAGTGCTATTTTGCATGATCTCCACCATTCTGCATCTACTGTGTTGCCCTCAGGCAGTTTGGATGTATCCCCCTCAGTGAGTTCTCACAATAGCCTGGAGATGTAAGTTTTCTTTTATTCACTGTCTCATGCCAATCCCAACCTCATGAAATTTCTGTGAGAATTCAAATGTCTAACTCAGTGTCTGGCACAAAATTCAGTTTATAAATGTCAGCTGCTATTGTTCCCACTGAAAAGAAGTCCTTAGGGCTGGAGATGTAACCCGAGTTAGAGCACTAGCCAATGAAGTCTCAGGGGCTGGGAATGTGGCTTAGTGGTAGAGTGCTTGCCTAGCACGCATGAAGCCCTGGGTTTGATTCCTCAGAACCACATACAGAGAACAGGCTGGAAGTAGTGCTGTGGCTCAAGTGGTAGAGTACTAGCCTTGAGAACAATGAGGCTCAGGGATAGTGCCCAGGCCCTAAGTTCAAGCCCCAGGACTGGCAAAACAAAACAAAACAAAAATCAATGAGTGAAGTGTCAGGTACTGAGTTAAGTCCCAGTCTTGGATCAAAACAAAAGAAATACAGGAGATACATAATAACATAAGTACAGGAGAGAGTAAATGGCAGTTCCACCTCCATGAACAATGAGGGCTGCTGGATTGCAGCCAGCTCAGAAAGGAGTCAGATAGAAGAGTCTGATTTATGGACAAACATCTCTGGTAAAAACTATCACTAGAGCTAGACTCCCAAAGAGACTTCCTCTGCCTATATCTGTCTGATAGGCACAAACTCAATAGGTGCAGTTATATTCTTCCCTGGGCTACCCTTTGGCCCCAATGGCAACCTTAGGGATCACTCCCAGGTCAAATGTCTCATCTCTCACTTGGATGATAGCCAAGTCACAAAACTTGAGGGACACCAGCGGCAGAATACCAACTCTCCTAGGGACCTCTCTTGCTGGCTGCACTGTGGCCAGAGGATCTGACCACATGACTCCTCTGCAGTCCCTCTCAGCACCTGCATAAGTCTTGGCTCTTCGTATTTCAGAGGCTGCTCAGATCTGGCTACTGCCCATCTGCAATCGATCACCTGCCCTCCCCATGCTCCACCATCTCTGCTCCCCCTGCACTCCTGCTCAATTCCTGGAAGCTCTGATTTCTTTCCACTAGAAATAGAGGTGTTTGATTTACTCTGGAAGCCCTTTCTTCCTTCATCACCTTTTTTTTTTCTTCAAAACACAGCTTGTATGTCTCTCCCCGGCAAAGACTTAGCTCTGAGTACTGGGCAGAGCTGCTCTGATGGTCACCTCCGCCTGGCTAACCTTAGCCCTGTACAGTCAGTTCAATCTTCCTCCCCGCCCCCCCACCTCCCAGCAACGCCAGCTGACGCTTATCCACTAAGCTTGGCAAACATGCCTGAAATTGAAATGAGCCCAAATGAGACAAGGGTCACTCTACAGGTGGAGCCTAAGGACCCAGCAGCACAAGGGTCTGTCAAAAGGAGTGGCAACTGAAGAGGCAGATCTGAGGACCACAGTTCAAAGCTATCCAGGCAGGAAAGTCTGTGAGGCTTTTATCTCCAATTAACCATCAAAAAGCCATAAATAGAGTTGTGGCTCAAGTAGAATGTTGAGCAAAAAAGCTTAGGGATAGCACCCAGGCCCTGAGTTCTCTGAGTTCCAGTCCCAGGACTGGTACATTAAAAAGGTAATAATAATAAAAGGGACTTGAGTTGGAAATAGTGCACTAAGGGGGGAAAAAAATGGCAGTGCCTTTTTTTTTTTTTTTTTGGCCAGTCTTGGGGTTTGACTCAAGGCCTGGGAACTGTCTTTGAGCCTCTTTGTGCTCAAGGTGAGCTCTACCACTTGGTCTCCGTGCCATGTCTGGCTTTTTCTAAGTAGTTCCTTGAAGATAAGAGTCTCCTGGACTTTTCTGCCAGGGTTGGTTTCAAACCCCGATACTCAGATCTCAGCCTTTTGAGTAGTTAGGATTGTAGGTGTGAAGCACTGGTGCCTGGCTTATCTTTTCACACTAAGCAATTGAAGAGTTTGTATTTCCTTAAAGCACCCTAAATGCTGGTTTCCCCTGAGCTGTGAAAGCCAAGTTCCTTATGTAGACATCCAACCTTAGACACCATGGTGCACCAAGAGCTCAGCCAGCTCTCCAACTCCTGTCAGATACTCAGAATGGTAGAGGGAAGGTACAGTGCAGACTGGCAAGAAATGATCTTGCTCTACCTGAGATAGGACCCAGTTGTGCCATCTTCCCCAGCCATGGGAGAGGTTCTGGGCCAGGCTCAAAGAGAGACATCATGAGGTTTGATTTCTTCTTGCTGTCGGCTTGGGAGTAAAGCATTCCATGCCATTCGGGACTGGAGAGAGAGAGAGGGAGAGATCAGAAGAACAGCAAGCCTGAAGCTGTCACACTAAATTTAGCCTGACACAGCCTTCAGCTTTGAAGTCAGGTCCACCACTCATACACTCTTACCAATGCCAACTCCTAAACCTGAAAATGCATACTACTGTTTTCTAATAGTTCCTCTGGAGCATTACTGCTTTTTCAGGCAAAATGATATACATATGGAAATTAAAAGCAGTTTAAAAGAAACAACAACAAAAAAAAGCCAGGCCCTGGTAGCTACTCTGGAGGCTAACGCGATCTGAGAATTAAGGTTCAAAGGCAGTCAGAGCAGGAAAGTCTGTGAGACTCTTATCTCCAATGAATCACTAGAAAACGAGAAGTAGAGCTGTGGCTCAAGTTGGGAGAGTGCTAGCCTTGTACAAAAAGAGCTCGGGGACAGTGCCCAGGCCTTGAGTTTAAGCCCTACAACTGACACACAAAGACAAAAGATGGAATGGAGGTGTGGCTCAAGTGGCAAAAATGCCAAGTAAGAGTACAAGGCTCCAAGTTCAAGCCCCACTACTAATATTTTAAAAGGCTCACTCCATACTTATTCTAGGGAGAAGTTAGGGAGAGCTTAACTTCAAAAGCCATGGCAGGTTGGAAGGACAGGGCAGAGGAGGATATGTCTATTTTTCTTTCAGGTAAGTCCATACAGTTTTCCATCCCTTTATTGAACCAGATGAGAAGAAAGTTTCCTACCCCAACTGAACTATCGCCACCATTCCTTCCACTTTCAGGCTGCCATGGAGCAGGACGCAGAAGTTGGGTATTTTGCCTGCAATCTGATTGGCTGAATTTTCGTCTTCATTGTCATCAGTGATACCGGTACCCACCTCATCACCCTCTGAAAGAGGAAAATGAGTTAGAGCAAGATGAGCCACAAAACCCCACTGCCAAGTACATGCGTGGCTCCTCCTGGCCTTGAAGGGAAAGTATGTGGAGCTTAAGGGAATGTATCACAAATTGGAAAAAAACTCATCTCAGTTTTCCAAGGCCCATATAAAAATCCCTTTTCAATAATTATGTAAATTCCCTTTATATGAAACATCCAGAGTAGCAAATCCATAGAGACAAAGGCCATGAAAGAGTAAGAGTTCAGCATACACCAAAGATGCTGAATCCAGGGACACAACCTCACAATTCCTACAAAGATATATTCTGCAGTTCCACAAGGTACTAACTAGGTTTATCTGTCCATCCATCCACCTGTCTGGCCATCCAGCCAGCCAGATTTAATGAGTATCTACTATGTGCTTGGCATAATGTCCTCCCCCTTAGGAAGTTGTATGCACATGCACATTTACCAATCTTTCTATGAGCACACACGGTGACACAAGGGGGATTTCACTGTGGTATTTCCACCCCCGTGTACAAAATACCTGATCAATTTCTTCCATTCTATCACACTCCTTTGTCCTCGGCCTCCCTAAATCAATTTTAACAGGTTTCTTGCTCTGTTTTCATACATGCAAGCAATCTACTTTGACCACATTCATCCTTTCTCATCCAAGTTGTTAGCCCAGACTTCCCACTGGAGCCCACCCCTGCAAGGCAATAGAGCTTGTTGTTGTTGTTGTTGGTTGTAGGGCTTGAACTCCTGGTACTGTCCCTCAGCTCTTCAGCTCAAGGCAAGCACTCTACCACTTGAGCCACAGCGCCGCTTCTGGTTTTCTGGTGGTTTATTGGAGATAAGAGTCTCATGGAGGGGCTGGGAAGGTGGCTCAGTGGTAGAGTGCTTGCCTTGCATGTATGAGGCCCTGGGTTCAATTCCTCAGCAGCACATAAGCAAAAAGAAAAAAAAGCGGGAAGTGGCGCTATGGCTCAAGTGGTAGAGCGCTAACCTTAAGCTGAAGAGCTGAGGGACAGTGCCCAGGCCCAGAGTTCAGGCCCCATGACCGGACCACCCCCCCGCCCCCCCAAAAAAAAAGTCTCATGGAGTTTCCTGCTTGGGCTGACTTTGAACCGCAATCCTCAGATCTCAGCCTCCTAAACAGCTAGGATTACAGGTGTGAGCCACTGGTGCCCAGCTTTGTCATTCTATTTTTTTTTACTGTCCTAACTGTAACAAAGGGTTTCTGCCATATTTCAGCATTGCACGTATTGCAGTTTTCACAGCATAACTGTTACCTTCCTTCCCTGCTCCCTCCTTCTCCTGAAGGCAGTCTTCTGGTTACCACCTTGCCTTTCTCAGCATGTTCCTCATAGGAAAGGCAGAGTCCTAGATGAGGAAGAAGCAGCCTCATCTCTAAGGAGGACCTCCACTGTTCATTCACAACTAATACATAGAAGAAAGCAGCAACATTTCTGCTGTATGAAGGAACATTGTCTTTTCTGAAATCCAACATGGGGGCTGGGAATGTGGCTCATTTAATGGTAATGCCTAGGATGCATTAAGCCCTGGGTTTGATTCCTCAGTTCCACATAAAACAGAAAAAGCCAGAAGTGGTGCTGTGGCTCAAGTGGTAGAGTGCTAGCCTTGAGCAAAAGAAGCTCAGGGACAGTGCCCAGGCCCTGAGTTCAAGCCTCAGGACTGGCAGAAAAAAAGAAAATAAAATCCAACATGGCAACTAGTCTTCTTTTACTCTACAAAAAGGGCTAACTTATCAACCTTGTAAGAATAACTTTAGATAATAGAAGTCTTCATATACATCAATAGCATAAGAAAAGAACTCACCTTTGTTAAGGGCAATAGGTAAGACGAGATGTCTGGACAGAACTGGGGGACTGGAAATATCAGCTATATCAATAAACCCCACAATTTCCAAATCTGAAAGGAAGGAATCAGCAGAGAATTAATTTATACCAGGAGAAGTCCATTTCACAAATACCCTGCTGTAGGTGGAGGTTTCAATTATGGTGACCAACAATTTACATTTTAACTAACTCAGAAAATAATGGCATGGGCTGGGAAGGTGGCTCAGTGGTAGAACGCTTGCCTTGCATGCATGAGGACCTGGGTTCGATTCCTCAGCACCACATAAGCAAAAAGAAAAAAGCTGAAAGTGGCGCTATGGTTCAAGTGGTAGAGCGCTAGCCTTGAGCTGAAGAACTGAGGGACAATGCCCAGACCCACAGTTCAGGCCCCACGACCGGACCACCCCCCCAAAAAAAATAATGGAAATTCTCTTTACTAATTATCATTATTTTATTTTTTAGTGCCTTTCTTTTTTCTTTTCTTTTTTTTTTGTCAGGCGTGGGGCTTGAACTCTGGGCTTGGGCGCTGTCCTGTACTCTTCAGTTCAAGGCAAGCACTCTACCGCTTGAGCCACAGCACCACTTCCTGTTTCTCTAGTAGTTTATTGGAGACAAGAGTCTCACAGACTTTCGAGCCTGGGCTGTTTTTGAATCGTGATCCTCAGATCTCAGCCTCCTGAGTAGCTAGGATTACAGGTGTGAGCCCCCAGCCCCCAGCTTTCTTTTCTTTTGCCAGTCCTCGTACTTGAACTCAGGGCTTGGGTACTGTCCCTGAGCTTCTTTTGCTCAAGGCTAGCCCTCTACCACTTGAGCCACAGTGCCACTTCTGGCTTTTTCTAAGTATGTGGTACTGAGGAAAAGAACCTAGGGCTTCATGCATGCTAGGCAATAACTCTACCACTAAACCACATTCCCAGCCCCTTTTTGGTGCCTTTCTTGTCCTAGATGGCTTCAAACCTTGATCCTCAGTTCTCAGTCTCCTGAGTAGCTATCATTAGAAGCATGGGCCACCTGGCTGGTAATTGTCTGTTCTTAAGAACATTAATGAATGTAAATTATATGATAACTCAGGTCAACTTTATTTTTATGAAGCTTGGTCCTTAGCCAGGGCAAGAGCTTAAGGTCAAATCTCCTTGTTAATAGTCCTGGTTATTCAGGTTGCCAGAGGCACTAAAATATACTTATACAACTTCATTCAGCCTTCTTTGAAAAATAAAGTCACTACCTAAACAGTTTCCCTGAGAAAGAAATACATCCTTTACATAAACGAATGGGACGACTGGGAATGTGGCTCAGTGGTAGAGTGCTTGCCTAGCATGCATGAAGCCCTGGGTTCAATTCCTCAGTGCCACATAAACAGAAAAAACCCTGAGTGGCACTGTGGCTCAAGTAATAAGAGTGCTAGCCTTGAGCAAAAGAAGCTCAGGGACAGTTCCAAGGTCCTGAGTTCAAACACCCAGGACTGGCAAGAAAAAAAAAAAAAAAGAATCACTGTGGCAAAACCAATGTGACAATGATGTTTTTGCTTTAGAGAAACTGTACTAAAGGACCAAAGTATGTTTGTGTGTGGGTGCTGGTCCTGGGGTTTGAACTAAGGGCCTGGGAGCTGTCCCTTAGCTTTTTACTCAAGGCTAGTATTCTACTGCTTGAGCTACCGCCCCACTTTCAGCTTTTTGGTGGCTAACTGAAGAATCTCACAGACTTTCCTGCTCACACTGGCTTTGAACTGTGATCCTCAGGTCTTGGCCTCCTGAGTAGCTTGGATTACAGGCATGAGCCACCAGTGCCCAGTTACAAGTGTATTTCTTTTTGCACAATGTCATCCCTTCCCTCACTCCCTCTGTTTTTCCTTCCCATCCCACTCATAAGTTGTGTCCGGTGAGTCCACTGCTGCAGTTTTCCACCCTTTGTCCCTCCACTTTTGTGCCTCCCCTTATACTCTCTTTGTTTTTGATAGGGTCTTCCCATGGGAGGCTGGCTTAGAACTCACAATCTTGCTGCCTTATCCTCTTGAGGGCTGAGATTACCATCTTAAGCCACTATCTTAGCACTGAAACTTTTTTTTTCTTTTTTTGTTGGTTGTGGAGCCTGAACTCTGGGCCTGGGTTCTGTCCCTGAGCTCTTCAGCTCAAGGCTAGCACTCTATCACTTGAGCCACAGCACCACTTCTGGCTTTTTCTACTTATGTGGTGCTGAGGAATCGAACCCAGGGCCTCATGCATGCAAGGCAAGCACTCTAAGACTGAGCCACCTTCCCGGCCCTGAAACTTTTCTTTCCAAAGCTTGATTATATAACTAACATACAACTTAACAAAACACTAAAATTATTTAAAAAAATCATTTATTATTCATCATAAAAGAAAAGTAATTTTTATTGAGTTGCTTTTCAATTTTTCTTCTAAGCATATACACACATATATTCTGGAAACTATTTATAAACTTAGATGCAGCAGCACACTGACTTATACCATGTTGGAAGCGTGACTCTCAAATCTGCTGTCGTTAACTCTTTCAGCTAAGAAACAAGCCAACACCAGTAGCTAGAGCTGTTTCATTTGAATGGAAAAGACCTACTCTATTCTATAGATTTAACAGATGCTACATTAAGGATTTTAAACATTTATATGGCAAAGAAATAATGAAATCGTTCACCAAAGAAATATGGAAGGAGGTTGAATTTAACTGTTATGAAGACCACAGAACATACGATGTGGCTTAATATACTATTGTCCCATTGTTACAACAGAGATAGACACTAGCTCATCATAGCCCAAAGCTATAAGCACAAAAATAAGCAGCCTTCTCACAGCCCTTTTTCCTAAAATCTCTGTGCCTCAAACAATGAACATGCATTGTCTGCTTAGGTGTGATCATTTACTGACTTTCCAATTAGCTACTAAGCATCATATATTAGCTATCAAGGTTACGAGAGTGACTGGAAAGGCAAACACCCATTCCTAAGAGATTTATTTTGTACCCATCACTCCAGGGATCAATCCATCAATGGGGCACAACTCTCCTCTGTCTTACTTAATATTGACTTTCCCCAGTGCCAATCTCAGCTAAGCCTGGGGCTAAGCAATGTGACAAGGAAACAGTGTAGCATATCACTTTCTTTTAGTCACAGTGCAAGCAGCAGGAGCCTGGTGCCAGTGACTCACACCTGTAATCCTAGCTACTCAGGAGGCTGAGATCTGAGGATTACAGTTCAAAGCCAGATCAGGCACTAAAGTCATGAGACACATCTTCAATGAACCACGAAAAGGTCAGAAGTGGAGATTTGGTTCAAGTGGTAGAGTGTTGTTAGCCTTAAGCAGAAAAAGCTAAGGGATAGGATGTAGGTCCTGAGTTCAAGTCCCAGGACCAGCCCACACATGTATAAAAAAATAAATTAGGGCTAGGAATGTAGCTTAGTGGTAGAGTGCTTGCCTAGCATATATGAAGCCCTGGGTTTGATTCCTCTGCATCACATAAACAGAAAAAGTCTGAAGTGGTGCTGTGGCTCAAGTGGTAGAGGGCTAGCCTTCAGAAAAGAGGCTCAGGGACAATGCCCAGGCCCTGAGTTCAAGCCCACAGCAAAAAAGAAAAAAAAAATCCAGGGCTGATGACAATAGCACCTCCCTGAGAGAATACAAGATTCTTTCCAGCCCTCCTAGATGGGGAGAAAGTAAGTCACAAGTGAAAGGAGGGCAGAGAAAAGAGGAAAGCCAGGAGGGAATTTTTAATGCATTACCTGTGTTAATGACTTTTGGGATAGGATCGATTTCTTCATCTACAATGAATGGCTCTGGCCTGGGGAAGACCTGGACGTCAGCGGTCAGGTGGCCACACTTGAGCACAGCATGGAAAGGCGTATATGCCAGGTCTATCAGCTTTCTAGAAGATGATCATGACTTGTTAAGGGAGGAAGAGTTCACATGTGGTACACAGAAAAGGACAAGTAACATTTCAAGATGTAAAGTTGGTTAAACCTTCGCACTGATTCCAAAACTAAATCTACTTGTGAAACGGAAAACATTTTGATGTTTTTAGAGAGGAAATTTCAATTGAGAGAGAAACCCCAGAGCAAGTTAAACTTGGGAACAGCTGAGTCTTTTTAAAGCATGACCACCTTATTTTACCTGAGAAACGGGCAACTGTGGGAAAATGGACTCACACTGTTAGAAATAATACAGTAACTGAGAGGTCGCCGAAATAGCTCAGTTGGGAGAACATTAGACTGAAGAAATAATACAGTAACTGTTCTTCTTGGTTGTCAAATTATAATATCAGATTGTAAAGAAGCCCCCACCCCCCACCCCTCAAAAAACAACTTTAAGGCATATACTCACCCAAACATAGACTGCACGTTTTTCAAGCACAGGGGGCCATCATAATAAAAATTTGCCCTTCACCATTGTTGAGGTCTATGAGACCTTCAAGGCATTCCAGGAAATCGGTGCTCTGAAGCTACAAAGCAAGAGAGGACACCTTTAAAGTAGAACAAATCACCACATCACTACCAGCACACCAAGGCCACAGCCACTGTAACAAAATGGGCAATAAACGGTTTGTTTGGTTTGTTCTTTTGGTTCTGGTACTGGGGCTTAAACTCAAGGCCTTACACTATTTTTTTGTCAGTTGCAGGGCTTTAACTCAGGGCTTGAATGCTGTCCCTGAGCCTCTATGTATTCAAAGCTAGTGCTCTACCACTTCAGCCTAGAGCTACTTCCAGTTTTTTTGAGTCGTTAATTGGAGATAAGAGTCTCAAGACTCAAGTCTCAAGTGGAGCCACAGCTCCACTTCCAGCTTTTTTGGTAGTTTTGGTAGATAAGAGTCTCATGGACTTTCCTGCCCAGGCTGGCTTTGAACCATGATCTTCAGATCTCAGCCTCCTGAGTAGCTAGGATTACGGGTGTTGAGTCCGTGAGATGATTTTCTTAACAGTCAATATCAGAAGGAAGTAACTACGGGGGCTGGGAAGGTGACTCAGTGGTAGAGTGCTTGCATTGCATGCATGAGGCCCTGGGTTCAATTCCTCAGCACCATATAAGCAAAAAAAAAAAACGAAAGAAGTGGCGCTGTGGCTCAAGTGGTAGAGCGCTACCATTGAGTTGAAGAGCTGAGGGACAGCGCCCAGGCCCAGAGTTTAGGCCCCACGACCGGACCCCCCCAAAAAAATACAAATAAGGAAGTAACACAACAATTGTTCTGTGTGTGTGCCAGTTCCTGGGCTCAATTCCAGAGCCTAGGTGCTGTCCTTGAGCTTTTTGCTCAAGGCTAGCACTCTACCACTTGAGCCACAACTCCACTTCCAGATGTTTTTGTAGTTTAGGGGAGATACTGAGTCTCATGGACTTTCTTACCTCAACTATTGCAATCTGCCTCAAGGTTACAAGAGGTACTTCATTCATAAGTAGTTCTGCAGAGTCTCAGGAGACCACAGTTAGTAGCCATACAGCATCTTCCCTACAACCTGTTCCTGACATGGTTTGGCAAGAGCCATCAATTATCAGCATTTTATAGAGAGAAAAACTGAGGTAAAGTGAAATAATTCCTGACTCAATGGGAAAAGCAGGAAGTATTGAATAAAACACATCAGAAGCCAGGTGCTGGTGGCTCATGCCTGTAATCCTAGCTACTCAGGAGGTTGAGAGCTGAGGATGGCAGTTTGAAACCAAGCCTGAGTAGTAAAATCTGTGAGATCTTCAGCTCCACTAAACTACAAACAAAGCCAGAAGTGGAGCTGTGGCTCAAAATGGTAGAGTGCTAGTCTTGAGCAAAAAGCTCAGGGACAGCATCCAGGCTTTGATTTTAAGCCCAAATACCAGCACCACAGCAAACAAAACAAAAACACCTATGTCCCCCCCTCCAAAAAAAGGCCCCCCCCCAAACAAAAAAAACCTAAAGTATACCTCTGTCAACATTTCTGGAGGAATGGACAGAAAAAAAAGAACATCTCAACCCTTCATGGTCATCAGCAGAATGGGCATCTCCAGCTATACTCTCGGAGAGGTGAGTGTTGTTTTGTCAAAGAGCATGTGAAATCAACTCTTTTCAAATCTAAATGTTAGACCGTACGCAAGAGTGTTATTGAATATACTGAAAACTAAACCGAGCCCTGGGATTTACCTAACCCATCCAAAAAGCAGTTAGCAGAAGGTATTACCTCTTCCAGGTTTGCCATGCACATGATGTATAACTTAGACGGGAAAGGGAAAGGCAGCGGGAACCTGTTGCTGTCGCTCCTTTGATTGTGTGTCGCTAGGGAATGTCGCAGGGACCCTCTACCAATGCCGAGACAGCCGTCCGTCACCAGAACGACCTGTGTGTAGAGGACAAGTATCCATTAAGCCACATGCCCAACAGCTCCACCCAGGTTTGCTTTCACTGCTACAGGAATGTGCAGGGAGCTTTGTGGGGTGATGGGTATGTTCTACGTCTTACTTGTAGTAAGGATATACATACATGCTTCCATTTGTGAAAATCTAGCAAACTGTGTGATTTATTTGTTTGTTTATGTGCCGGTCTTGGGGCTTGAACTCAGGGCCTGGGCTCTATTTGTGAACTATTTTGCTCAAGACTGGTGTTCTTCCACTAGAGCCACACCTCTACTTTTGCCTTTTTACTGGTTAGCTGGAGATAAAAGTCTCACAGACTTTCCTGCCCAGGCTAGCATCAAACCATGATCTTCAGATCTCTGCCTCTTGAGTAGGTAGGATGACAAGCATGAGCCCCTGATGCCTGGCTTATTTTTTTTAATTGTCTTTTTTTTCTCTTGTCAGTCATGGTACTTGAACTCAGGGCCTGGGTGCTATCCCTGAGCTCTTTTTGCTCAAGGCTAGCACTCTACCACTTTGAGTCACAATTGCACTTCTGGTTTTCTGATGGTTAATTAGAGATAAGAGCCTCATAGACTTTCTTGCTGGGCTGACTTTGAACCTGGATCCTCAGATCTCAGCCTTCTAAGTAACTTGGATTATACATGTGAGCCACTGCCCCCGGCTAAAATTATCTTTAACTAGTTATACCACAGGGTTTTAATTCAACGTCAACTGATATGTAGAATACACTTTGATCAGTGTCAACCTTTCTATCATTTTTCCATGTACTCCAAACTTATCCATCTGAAGTTTTCTAGTCCCAGTTTCAATATGTACATTGAATATTATGACTGTTTTTGTCCACCATTCTTTCTCTCTCTCTCTGCTCTCCATAACATCCATCCTCATAGACAAGACTAAACCATGTATTTTGAATTTGTGCATTTAAAACAAAAAATGCAGGTACTAGAGGTTGAACTCAGGGCCTGGGTACTGTCCCTTAGCTTTTTCTGCTCAAGGCTAGCATTCTCCCATTTGGCCCACAAATCTACTACCAACTTTTTAGTGTTTAACTGGAGATGCGAGTTTCATCTTTCCTGCCTGGGTTGGCTTTGAATGGAGATCCTCAAATCCTAGTCTTCTGAGTAGCTAGGATTACAGGCGTGAGCCACTGGTGTCCCACAAGCGCAAGTCTTTATGATTCTCTTCACTTTTTAGACAACTCAGTTGAGATGGTTAGAAATTTGCTGAATAACTGCTACACTGAGATAATGAAGAATAGACACTATTGTTCCGTGTTTACAATTCTACCACACAAAATTATAATCCGTTCTTCAATGGTTACAAATTCTACTGTGAGCCCTTTGTCTTTATATAAACAAGATAAATATTCAGTACATCAATTTACCAGGAAAATACTTTCCTCGAGGCATAGGTCTGCTTTCTGAACACATTAGTATGACTTAAACTCGTGTGATACGATTACAGTGATTTAATGCCTTCTTTAAAAACTGTACAAATAGTGTAAAATGTAGTGTGAGGAGTTATAACGTAGGCGGTTAGAGCCTGAGGAAAATCAACACTACAGTGGTTAATGATTTGTATGTTTTGCACATGTGCTCATGCATGTGTACATGCACTCCTAGTAGCTTAACGTCAGGGTCTGGGTGTTGTCCCTGAGTCTCTCTGTGCTCAAGCCTAGCACTCTACCACTTGAGCCACAGCACCACTTCTGGCTTTTTCTGTTGATGTGGTATTGAGGAATCGTCCACAGGGCTTCATGCATGCTAGGCAAGCACTCTACCACTAAACCACATTCCCTAGCACTTTTTTACCTTTTTCATTCAAGGCTAGTGCTCCATCACTTGAGCCACAGCTCCACATCTGGCTTTTTGCTAGTTAACTGGAGACGTGTCTCATGGACTTTCTAGCCTCAGCTAGCTTCACACTGAGATCCTCAGATCTCAGCCTCTTGAATACCTAAGATTTACAGGCCAGTTTGGGGGTCTATATTTTCTCTTCCCTTTTTCTTTCTTTTGGTGCCAGTCCTGGAGCTTGAACTCAGACCCTGTGTACTGTCCCTGAGCTTCTTTTGCTCAAGGCTAGCACTCTACCACTTGATTCATAACTCTACTTTTTTTTTCTTTTTTGGTTAACTGGAGATAAGTGTCTCATATACTTTCCTGCCTGGGCTGTCTTTGACCAGCAATCCTTGGAATTCAGCCTCCTTAGTAGCTAGGGTTACAGGTGTGAACCCCTAGTGCCTGGCTCGTTAATGATATTAACTAAGGACATTGAAAAACACTAAGCATTACCTGGCAAGGGATCGCACCGCCCCATTCTTGCTGAACAATGTTACAGACACCAACCAGTGCTGACTCTAGGCATGTCTTGTCATAATCGTCCATATTACTCAGTGCTTCCTTATTGGGCGAGAAAAAAAATTGCTCATTATTCTCTGCTGTTTTGTTATTAGAAACCAATATCAACTGTACGAAGTCTGAATATCATACAGCGAACACTGAGTTTCTGTAAGCCCCAAAACATAGGTTCCAGAAAACACACACACACACACACACACACACACACACAAACACAGCAAAGCAGACTTCCTCAACTGTAAAGGACAATGAAATAAGATTAAAGCAATGACCAAAATGTATGGGCCCTTAACCATAATCTCCTAAACACCATTCTGTGCACTATACACGGATTTAATCATCCTACCATTGTTAACCCTACTTTTAAATGAGGAATTTTTTATTGGGGGTCCGTTCATGGGGCCTGAACTCTGGGCCTGGTGTTGTCCCTCAGCTCTTCAGCTCAAGGCTAACGAGGTACCACTTGAGCCACAGCACCACTTCCGGCTTTTTTCTTTTTGCTTATGTGGTGCTGAGGAATCGAACCCAGGGCCTCATGCATGCAAG